TCATGACTGTATTTGGACTCACCATGAAGTAATTGAACAGTGGACGCTTATGCAAACTCCTCTAGCTCTGCCCTAACCTTCTACAGTCTTCAACATGTTTCAACATCCCAATGTATCAATAGAGTAATGAAATAGATAAGATAGGATAACACGTGCTTACAGCGTCACATAGACCTCCATCTATAATAATGGACCAATTCATTCTCTTTAACTTAAGTCACGGAGAAATTTGATGAATGCACACAGAACAACCATTTTCATTCGCAAGAGCATAGGCAGGAATTCGGAGTCCTAGTATTTAGCAAGATCCAATAAATTAGGACTTTGTGGGCACCGTCCTCTTGCTGTGTCAACACCCCAGGGCCCACATCATCCACTCTATACCCCCACTTCTTCCCCAATTCCAATAACCCGTGTCCTGGACTGCCTTGTGAGAAGAGTGACCCCACTACATTCTATAGTTTTAACTTTATAATAGCTAAACAGGTATGTAATATAAGTTTGAACTCCCGGGCTACATATTCCAAATAACTTAATTTATGCATTATAAATAACCAGTGTATCCGTCCCAACAAATCTCAGCCTAAATATCCAGTTGCGCACACCCCCTGGGTGTGTTCGATATTTGTGAGTTACACGACCCACTGCGTATAAATCATTATAGTGTTCCCATTGTCGTACTGGGGTTTGACTACCATCTCCTGAGTGTCCCCCCCCACTACAGCACCGCAGGTATGACAGTAATCACCCCAAAATCTACCCAATCATCCACTAAATTTGAACCCTCCCGGCCATTCTCTGTTGAACTGCCCATTCCCTCCTGAGCTCCTGTGTCAGAAGCTGCGCTCCCACTTGCCCCAATTTTTTTTTCCTCATCCCATGCTTTTCGAATCCTTCTATCTTCAAGCTTATCGCGAATGATGCGAATGATGACCTTGATGAGTATACCCAATATTACAACGCCAATAGGTGCCGCCAAGTATTCTGGTTTGAATATCATTGTAGAGGGATGGGTTTGGAGTAGATGAGGGTGTTATTGCTGGTGTAGGTTCGTATATGTATGGTGGGAGAGAATATCCCCTTGGTGATTATGATCTATCCATCCTATACTCTTCATTTGTATAATAATTTCTACATATCTGAGAATCTATCACTGCACCATAGATGCCAAAGATGAACATTTGACAAAGGCATGAGCGTATTCGGGATCTTTGCATGATGAATAATGAAGATCGCCATTCCATCACTAGATCGACAACATCACCCCTTAATATGGACTACTGGAGGCTACACAAAAGTTCATCCGTGGAAACTAAGGAAACTAATGATCACCACTGGTTTCTCTGATGCTGAGTGCGAACCAGTATTTATACATTGTCATTAAACATCATGTTGAACAAATTGTTGAATTTGGCTGAACTTCTTATATATCTCGAGTCTATGCCCTGAACAAGTACAAGAGCATTTCATCAGTGACTGAGGTCATTGATTATGTCCTATTTATAGAGTACTGATGTATGGAGGGGCGTGAGTTTGATTCCCACGTTGATCATGACGGTACTGTCTAATGTTTTTTTCTTACATATTTTTTGAATATGGGGGAGGGAAGGGCAGAGGAGGGCAGAGGAGGGCATAAGATGATGAGATAAGGAGAACTAGGGGACTCATGGCCGTTTTTTAGGTTTGGTGTGTGCCTGTAGTTTGTACTTGGGCTTAGGTACTACAGCCGATTCGGTCAGGGTGGGCGTGTATGGTGTATGGTGTGATATTTCATGGGGTTTCTGAGTTGTATGGATTGGGGTTCGGTGTTTGTGTTGGTCTGAGTATGACAACTAAGGATTCGGCACCGGTAACTAGAACCTGTTGATATTTTTCTTCATGTCAATGAAATCACAGAGGATGTATCACAAAGGCACATTTGTCACAATATCAATGTCATTCCCATGAAATAATGCTTCTAGCTCCGGCGAGCGCCCGGTTGGGCCCATCCTCATCTCACCCACTCCCGCCTCACCACTAAGCCCAGCTACAACCCCAGCCCCCCCCCCCCCCCCCCGCGAGCGCCCGGTTGGGCCCATCCTCATCTCACCCACTCCCGCCTCACCACTAAGCCCAGCTACAACCCCAGCCCCACCTCCCCCCGCACCACTGCCCACTCCCCCACCGTCACCACCATGGCTACCACAGTTCCGTATCTGCGACCCACCCCAAGGGGGCTGCTTCAAGAACGGGCCAGTGAGGAGGTTCGGCACGTGTGCCTTGGGTGACAAGATCCCACGATACACAATCTAACTCCCCAACATTGAGCTCTATTTTGTATTTAACATCAATTCCAAATCACGCACACCGTCACCACGCCAATGGCGCCTATTTTATTACATAGAGGGCCTTGGGGGAGATTTTGCATCTACAAGCCAATGTTAGTCATTGAGGTATTCATAGATCCTTGACGTATTTGATGCTGGGCGTTCGAAAAAATCATGTGCTGTGCGGTGAGTTGGAATGGAATAAATTGGGACTTTGTGGGCACGGTCCTCTTGTTGTGTCAACACCCACTTCTTCCCCAATTCCAATAACGCGTGTTCTGGACTGCATTATGATGGGTATGATTGGAAAAGAACTTATATGTGCTTCAATTTATAAGTTGCACTGATGGGAGTCAGATAAATTCAACTCTTCGAGTACTGTCTAGAGAAAATTTAGAGGTAGTTTCATTACTCTAAGCTATTAGAAAAGAGTGACCCCACTATAATCTATATTTTTAATTGTATGATAGCTAAATAGGTATGGAATATAAGTTTGAACTCTCAGGCTACATATTCCAAATAATTTAGTCTGTGCATTATAAATAACTAGTGTATGTGTCCCAACAAATCTTAGCCTGAAGGTCCATTTCATATTCCCTACATTATGGTGTGTACACCTCCTGGGTGTGCTCGATAGTTGTGAGTTACATGACCCACTGCGTACAACTTATAGTGTTCCCAATGCCCACTGTCGTACCGGGGTTTGACTATTATCTCCTGGGTATCCTTCTCTTGTTACAGCACCACGGGTATGATAGTCTTCGTCCCATGATCTACACAAGCGTCCACTGGGCTTGTATCCGCCCGGCCATTCTAGGCTGGAGCGCCCATTCCCTCTGGAGCTGTTGTGTTGGGAACTGTGCTTCTATTTGCCTGGAGATTTCTTTCCTCATCCCATGCTTTTCGAACCGCCTTGTCTTCACTCTTATCGTGTAAAATGCGAATTGCCATCAGAATAATTCCAACCAATACCACGACTCCAAGAGGTGCCGTCAAGGCGAAGACAAATATTACTCTCATTGTAGAGGGATGATTTTGGAGGAAATGAGGATGTTTTTTGTAGATGTAGGACTCATAATTGCTGGTGTAGATTCATATATGTACGGTGGTAGTGAATATCCCCTTGGTAATTACGATCTATCTATGTTATACCATTCATCTATACAATAACCTCAACATATCTGAATCTATCACTGCCTCATAGGTGCCGAAGATACCAATTGACGAAGGGGCGAGCATATTCGGGATCTTTGCAAGATAAATAATAGAGATTGTTATTCCATCACTAGATCAATAATATCCTATATGGGTGTATTATTACTTCCAGAAGGAACTTTATATCAAAGATGCAGTGTTATTGAACAAACATCATGCCTTAATATTGACTATTGGAGGCGACAAAAAGGTTCATCCATGGAAACTAAGGAAACTAATGATCACCACCGGTTTCCCTGATGTTGAGCACGAACCGGCATTCATACATTTTTATTAAACATCAGGTTGAACAGATTGTTGGCAGAATCCGGCTTGACTGAACTTCTGACATATCTCGAGTCCAAGCCCTGAACAAGTACAAAAGGATTTCATCAGCGACTGCCATCATTGATTATACTTGTATGTTTTTCACTTCTGATATTCTTTCCTTCATAAAGAACTTCACCACCTGGGGGTGTATCAAAAAAGCACATTTATCATAATATCAATGGTGTTTGTATTGCCATCACAACTAATAAAGTAGGAGGGGAGGTGAAAGGGCGGGATAACTTGGACCAAAGTTTCCTGGCTGTGACCCGCACGGTCAGGGGGTAGATACGGGCTTATCTAGACGACAATGCATGTAAAAAATACATAGGTCCTTATGTGGAAAGACACTTGGAGCATGGTGCGGCAAGTGCCCGGGTGGGCCCGGGCGGAGTCTAGATTTGGGCTTCGCGAGGATTTCTTTTTCCAACGATGCGTGGATGACGTGTTTCTTCATTGACGGAGCTTACGACCAGATGTGTCTGGTAGCCTGTGTGTTGGTATTTTAAAAACCTGTGCTATCAGTGCTCGGACTTATGGATACAGTCGTCCCGGTCGGATTTTCGATGACAGCCACAAATCTATGTCTCCATTTCTGCGAAGCTTGGCCTGCTCTCTGGCCCTACGATAATGTTTCCCTAACGAGCCTTACAAGCATTCTTCTACTCTCCAACTCTCCAATTACCAAAACTAAAACTCCAGAGCGCCTCTTCGCACAACAATTCATCCCGACGACGCCAACATAACCCGCACACCTTACTTGCGTCTAATCTTCAATGCTGGAGGACCCCTACTTTTCATACGCCCCTACTTTTCGTACGCCCCTACTCTTCGTTCGTATTCCTATTTAAATATGGCTACGTGCACTTTCGTTGGAGGTAGTATTGGTATTTGGGTAGATTGGGAATTTGCACCACAGGTGGATGTCGAAGATATTTTAAGGACAACACTCTCACAGTGGACTAGCATGTGATTGAAACTTCTTGTCCCACCACCCGACAAATCTTTATGTTCGACCCCGTTCTGTACTTGCACCTGCTTCGATTCTCGAAATCAAATATCACTATCGTGAACCCCTACTTAAGTAATAGCGTATGTACAAAAGAAATCCCGTAAATCACTTCAGGATCTTTCTGAAGTCTTGAGAGGAAGCAATACTTGCGTTTGAACTAAGCATTGATGGTGTAGCGGTAACATTGGGTCTTCCCATTCAATGGTGGCCCAGCCTCGGGTTCGACTCCCGGTCAATGCAAATCCGTAAACTTTTTTTATATAAAAGCAAATACCTTCGGCAAGCACCGGAGCAAGGTACGAATGAAATTTCCAGGGTCTGACTCCAGTTCAGAGCTCGAGTTTATAAGAACTCGGTATATACAGAAATCTCGATGTTGGAATTTTGGCCGTTGTTATGCATTGCGTTGATGGCCGGCCGGACATTCAATTAGCTTCATTACCAGTGAGTACAGGCTCCTTCCTTTGAGCCAATAACCAGTTTTGCCACTCTGCTGGCATCCTCATGAGGCGCATACCTCGGTTTGAAAAATCCGAGGCCTTTGTTCCAACAATTTTTTGTATCATTCGATGCCCTGGGCATGAACTTTCCTTCCGCGGGGGTTTAGTGCAGTAGCGTTCATCTTATAAAGTATATATTTAGATAATAACACTAAGTAGTCTAAGTAGTAAAATCTATTAACAAGGCTACTATTACTGCATTGATGTTTATGTATATTTCTTGAGTTGAGTTAATATATAGGAACTTAGGGGTATATACGGCATTATGATGGATTCGGTGTAATTATAAAAGTAAATGTACAGGATCATCAAAAGAAAAAACTGCCTATATTCGAACCTTCCATACTTGCATTAACCCACGCAAACCAGTCCAACGAACCTGTTCGTCAGGCCTCCTCAACACAGGCCCTGGAACCCCCACCCAACGGATTTATTGAAAAGATCATAACACGGCGCACACCCAGCCGGCCATTATCTCCCTAATTTCATGTCGTCCGTGTGCTTTCAATGGCCTTCCTATCTACCCAGATACCAACCCATATTATATTATCGTTGAAGGGTAAACAGAGCCTCTCATGGATGTTCTGATATTACTAAACATATCGCCTTCGGACTTCCCTGAGAACACACGAGATAATAATAGCTTGACATCCTGCTGCATTTCCTCTTATTAATACTTGAGAGAGTGTGTAATCAAGTTAACCAAAATAATTATTCCAGTTGGCGGCCAATAACGGTGGGTTAATGATTATAAACAACAGGACCCAACATTTGACATCGGGGATTGTACTACCTTGAACAACACCCCTCCTTATATAAAGCAGAATGCAACGGTTGATAACATTCGTGGAATCATAAGAGAGCCAGTGCGATGAAGTTCTTTCATGATGAAAAAAATAACGGAAATCATAACATGCAAACAACATCAATGACGGTAGCCGCTGATGAAATGCTGTTGGAGTTCTTGCGAACATAAACTCGAAATATAGAAGCCCAGTTAAGGCAAATTCTCCCATGACTTTGTTCAACACGATGTTTAGGCATCAGAGCAACTGGGCGGTGGTCATTAGTTTCCAGAGATAGGCCTTCAAATATTTTTTCATAGTCCCCACTAGGACAAGATGTTCGTTCAGCAACACTGGTTTCTCTGATGTAAGATTCCTTCTGGAAGGAAAATTACGCCCATATAGAATGCCGTTGATGTAGCGGCGGAACAACAATCACCATTATTTCTTTTGCAATCCCCCAACTCCACTCGTGCCTTCGTCTATTTTGAAAACCTGATACATCTGGGAGCAGTGTTAGATTTACTACAGTCATTGTGCCGATAAGGGTAATAAAATGGATAGATCGTAATCACCAGGGGCACAACCATTACCACTATATATGAGCCCATATTAGCGGGCCCTACACCAAGAAATACCTGCATCTGCTTCAAATTTATTCCTTTACAATGAATCCAGCATACTATGTGGTACCTATTGTTGTTTTCGTGTTGGCTTTATTCTCCAAGCTTTTTCATAGCTCCACACCTGTTAAGCTTGAAGAAAAAAAGGTTCGAAAAGCATGGGATGAGGAGAGAAATATCGAAGCGGTGGGTACGGTTCGCTCCACAAGAGCTGGGGAGGGAACGGGCGTTCCAGCCCAGAATGGCCGGGCGGATACAGGCCAAGTGGACACTCATGTTCCGGGGACGAGCACTACTGAGCTCCTGGGTGCGGTATTGAGAGAAGGACGTCGACGAGATAGTAGTGAAACCCTGGCTGGACACGCTATTCCCATCTCACGAGGTTGTTGGGGGAATCCTTCCGTCAATAGGTCTGCGGGAAAAGGGGATGGGACATTTCCGTCAGTGGATGCGAGTCCAGAGGAAGACCGCAGACTAAAGAATGCACCATCATCTGATCACCCCGACCACAACCTGAATCCTAATTTACGAGACGACCAAATATCCGTATCGCCTCAGGCACCGTACCCCGTACGTCCAGCCTCAATATATTCACTCCCGATATATCCACCTTCAGCTCTCCCAGCATATAAAGACGCTATACGCATTAGCTAGTACGTTGCGATTCTCCACCATCTCGGTTATACGGAAGGGAACCTGAAATGGGCGTTAAGACTGCTCGAGGTCTGTCAGGACAGACGCAATAGTCATTTATAATTCACAATATAAGTTATTTGGAAGCTGTAATTCGAATATTCAACCTTATAGTTTAAAGTTTTGAACTCACATAAAATTGGCGCTGGGCGTTGGGGCAGAAGGTTCAAAAACACACACGCTGGAAAGTCAAAGAAAGGTCGTAACGTGACCACAACCAAAATGGACTACTCTGAGGCCCTTAGTGCAGCGCATGTATTAGCATGCACTGAGAAGCACCTTCAGAGTTTGCCTCAATATCCTTTCATATTGTGGAGGTGGAGTCGCGTTTAGGATGTTCAGTTCTGAAAATCAACAAGGCGCTGATGTAATCACATGAGAGGTTCTAAAATTTATCAACACGTCGAGGGTATGCACTAGGGGGTCGCGACTCGCGATGATCAAGGATTGTGAGATTTAAATCCATCCCTGCCACAAACGTGTACTCACTCAATACTGTATCCATTCCGTCGAACCTCTTCTGTTTCTATGGGGTATCGAAACTTCGGTAACAACCGAGGTCTAGACCCTGAATCAGATCGCGATCGATTACATGCGACTTGACAAACGCTCTTTTACACCACCTTTACGATTCCATTCATTCAGAAAACGTACATATCGAGATCTTAGTCATTTTAAAGGATATACTGGCAGCTTATATACAAACAGTGTTGAACAAGTGCCTCGTCAAAAAATGGACCCAGCTTCCAAAAGACCACAATGTATTGGCGAGAATGGTCCAGGAACCTATATCGATAGATCTAACAACTTTATTCGTTCGGAAGTGGAGCTCTCCGTATCTGGGGCTGTAGCTGACCCAATGTCAGAGCCTTGTATTGCTGAACCTAACGAAGACCAAACGAAACTGGGAACAGGAGGATGGGTTGGATTTTCACGCGAACCCTTTTCAGCAGTCCAGGGAGTACCTGATGAGGTACTTTCTAAAATATTCCTTTACTGCAACGACCCCAATGATCCATCTATCTACATCCCTCCCCCAGGACTCGATTCTTACCCATGGTATCTAGGACGCGTGTGCTCCAATTGGCGTCGAGTAATGTGGGACACCCCATATATCTGGTCCTCTTTTCGGATTTCGAACACAAAAAAAACAGGGAAAGCACCTGTCAAGTGCTATTTTGAGCGAAATTCTTTCAAGAATTACTGCTATTTTCTCGATTATTATAGATACTCCTGAGACCACTCCCACCTTGAATGTTCTCGCCCCATTCCAGCCCCGCGTCGATAGACTCGATGTTTTTCAGGTGGAATTTTCCGCCAGGCAGAATATTCTAGATTCCGCACCCGAATTAATGGGTTCTCTCGTTACTTTAGAGCTGAGGGCTAGCGAAGCAGAACTACCCATATTTGAATTTACGCTACTCAATTTCAGTGCCGTCCCGAACCTCCGGAACCTTTCTCTCGACGTCTACTCAGAGTACTCGATAATCCACGTATTTTTTCGACTTGACATGTTTCCTTGGGATTAATTAACAACTCTTCATATTTCCGCAGTGCTCATGCCACTGCTGCTCGTTCAGGAGATCTTGCGGAAATGCGACTCACTCATAGATTGCACACTGCCATTAATCATTTGTTCTACACGAGCGCCTGATTCTCAAGATATCTCTCTTCCGTGTCTTGAGTCCTTTATATTCCCATTCGATGAGGATTATACAGGGATTGGGGATTTCATTGACCCGTTGATACTTCCATCACTGAGTGTCTTATCGATAAAAAGATTGTTCCCGCCAGGAGATTCAAGCCTCTGGTGCTCCTATGTCACATCCCTCATTGACCGTTCAGGATGTGCCTTAAGGAAACTTAGCCTTGGTTCAAATGACGAGATATACTGGAACGGTGAAAACTACGGACTGGAGCATTTAATAAAAATTTTACCATCGCTCGAAGTGATCTCATTTCAGTTTTTTATACATCCCACATTCTTTGAGGCTATCAGGACACTCCATGTCCTCCAAAGCCTTACAAAGATCCGAGAGGTTTAACTCCATTCTGATGGATTTGACGCGTTACTTGATTTGTTAGATTCATACATTGAGGCCCAGAATCTTTCTTCTTATAAAGTACACATAAAGTATGCGGCTGTCGTCCTGGCTGAGGCTATCGACGAATCCGATCCAGTATTGAACCGATATAGGATGCGACATAATGAATATTTGAAGGATGGAATCAAAGTCGACCTTTGTTAGAAAAGATATATCTATCATTGGTTGGGAGAATAATGGGGACTACTTATTTGTATACCCCATGTTGAAATGGGTAATTGCGTTCAGGATGTATGAAATAACATTTGTTGAAAGTAAGTTATTCAGGTTACCCGCTCCCACAGGAAATATTGTTGGGCGTGTTGTAAGATTTTACCCCTGCTCATGTGGTATTAACTTAGTCCGATGCCTGAGAGCCCGAAGCCCTGTCGAAAGTAGGCATTCTTTATTCTTCCAAATATTCTAGGCCCTCTGTAATGCACCGTCTGGAAGCGCTTGCAAAATTTTTTGGAAGCAAGGGGTACCATAATCACGTATTGCTCGTTATTGTTTTTTTCTCATACTATTTTTCTTACTCAAGGTTGTTATAGGATA